ATTGCCCTCCCCATGCAAAAGGTCCTGTCCTTACAAGGGATGGAAGGACCCAGAGTGACTCCTGTCTGAAGTGGTTCAGTGGTAGCTGACCCTCAGCTGTGAAGGAGACCTTATTTGGAAAAAAGGGGTCTTGGCATACCTACTTAAGTAAGATCTCCAGGTGCTTCTGTGGATTGGGTCCTAAACCAATGACAGGTGTCCTTATGAGGGACAGAGGAGAAACATGAAGACAGTACAAGGGCATAGGACGGTAGAGGCAGATATTGGGATGGACAGAGTCAAGGGGGTTCTGGCCCCCAGAACCTATGAGGAGCAGGAAGGAGCCTTCTCCCAAGCCTTGGGGGAAACAAGAACATGCTGGTACCTTCATCTTGGCCTCCAGACCCCAGAACTATAAGGGATTATATATCCCCATAGCCAGCAGCACTCAGCCAGGCCACTCAGGCTGCGCACATAAGGAGCATCCCCGGGCTCTCTGGGGGTCATGTGTTGCCATCCCTTGGGGACTGTGCCCTTCGCGTCTCAGCTGGCCTCTTTCCCCACACAGCTAAGTGAATGTGGGGGAAAGGCTCACCTGCCTCCTTCCTGGAGAACTTAGAAGCGTGGCGTTTCAAAGACCAGCCACCTCATAGACCATTATTTCCTTGTTTGTTGCCTGAGAAGTTCAAAGCTACCTGTGTGTAGTGCATGACGACAGTCGATACTGAATCGCTGATCCGGGGTGCAGCCCTCTCTATCTGGAGGCTTCCACCCTCTCTCCCACGTTTGCAGCTCCGCCCCCAAGTGTGTGCCATAGTCTGTTATGACAAACTCTAGCCACCCTTCTCTATAGTGGGTAAAGGACACACTAGGAAGAGAGATGACCACACAGGCCCAGTGCCCCCCAGTGGCTGCCCAGAGTGCCTGATGGAGCGTCCCTTAGCGTGTGGCCGTCTCCAGCAAGGTACATCAAGCAGCACTCCCAAAGAGAAAGACGGTCATCTAACTGGAAGTGTAGACAATGAATCCCCGCCAATAGGATCTTCTTCATGCTGGCCACCATGGGGACAACAAGGCTTGTCCTACTCCAAACGTTAGAGTTTTAAAGTAAGTCTTTTTCTGGAAACAAAAATCATTCGTCCAAGTTTTTAAAATATTTTCTCGGAGAATAAATGGTGAAGCACAAGCCAGACAGCCTAAGTTCAAATCCCCAGAACCCACATCAAAGCTAGACGCAGTGGTACTGGTGTCTATCAGTCCAGTGCACACCTACAGGGAAATGGGAGGCAGAATGACCTGATGTTCACAGGCCAGTGAGCCCAGTGTACACTGACCGTAAACACCAGGAGACCCTGCCTAATTCAGGGTGGAAAGCAAGGACCAACAACCAAGGTCGTCCCCCTACCGCCACATGTACTAATTATGGCATGTGTGTACCCACACTCACACGTACAGAACAATTTGCCGTTGAAGATGTTGAGGGATAACAGAATGTTCTGTTAACAACAGTCTTTACAGGAAAAAAAAGTTCATAATTCAAAATGCAAGGTGATGTGTCGCGCCCCCCTCCCCACACCACACACAAGAAATAGACATTTGAGATTCTCCATATTGATTGTTTGACTTTGGCATTTGAGGCTGGAGGTCTTATTTTCTTGGGAAAGTGAAGCTCTACACCCAGTAGAGAGATGTCATGTAAATGTTTTGTGGGATGGATGGATAATGGGCGGGTGGATAATGGATGGGGGGTGGGGGGGTGGGTGCATAGGTGGGTGGGTGGCAGACAGTTGGATAGTGAATGAAAAGATGGATGGATAGGTTGAGCACAGATGGATGAGTTGGGAGTGGATAGCAGATAGTTGGATGAAGGATGGAAGGAAGAATGGGTGGTGGATGGCAAATGGTTAAATGGTGAGTGGATGATGGATGGAAGGATGGGTAGACATTTAGACAAGTAGAATACAGTAGATGCATGGAAAGCTAGATGGGCAGAAAAAGAAATCAAAGAATGGGTGTGTGATTATAGTTTTGGATTATGCTACTTTTCCTAAAGCAGTATTTAGGTAACTGCCTTAGTCCAGTTTCAGCTGCTCTCATAAAATACCACAGACCGGGTAATTTTAAAAGCGAAGAGAGAGGTTTATCTTCACTCATAGTTCTGGAGGCTGGAAAGTAAGAGTTTGGCATCCACATCTGCTCAGTTTCTGGTGAAGGATTCGGGCAGAAGGTCAAAGGGCAAGAGTGGGAATTCACTCCCTGTGGATTTAACCCAGTGCTGGGTGGGTGGGGGAGAATATGAATTGTTTCCTGAGGGTAGAACCCAAGCATTCCTTAAAGATCCCACTTCTTCTTAGCACAGTCACTCTAGGGACCAGATTTCAACCTGAGTTTAGGAGGGCATCAGCCATGTTCAAACCATAGCATAGCTATAATTTACAAATCCACTGGATCCCCATTGATAAACTTGATAGTGGGAATGTTACCAAGTCTGTTCCGACTTAGATACTCTGTATGAGACAGAGGGAAAATTGTCTTGGAAACTCCATTATTAATACCTGTCAGTAAGCTCTGCGCAGAGCTGATTACAGACCTAGATGACTAAGTCTAGGAGACTTCGAGCCTTGGCTAAAATCTGCCTGGTTTTCTGAGTCAGTGGGATGGTCCATCTGTTACCCTGTCAGCCTGTGATCTGCAGCTGTGGACATGGCACAGGGACAGACAGAGCACACATGTGAGTGATGGTCACATAGGAGCTCAGAGCACAGTGTGAGGAGCACCCGCTGAGGTCCTGGTATGTGGTGACACTGTGTCTGTCCTCTTCCCATTCAGGGGATGATCACATTGATCTTGGCCACCGACATGGCAAGGCACGCTGAAATTATGGATTCTTTCAAAGAAAAGATGGAGAACTTTGATTACAGCAATGAGGAGCACCTGACCCTGGTAGGTTGGGTCTGTTGAGTCTTGGGAAAGCTGAGCCATAGCTGTCGGGGGAACCAGGAACCCGGGTGTCTCACCTGGCCATGGAGTGCTGGGGTGACTGGATTTCAGTGTCACAACTCCTCCTGGGCCAGCAGTGGACAAGGCTGCCTCCTGAAGAGTACTCCATGGGTCAAGGACAACCTTCTCCCTTAAGGAGGTGGCCTAAGTGTGCATGGTGTTCTAAAAAGCAAAATGCAAACCCAGCATGCTGGGTCATCCCTGTAATCCCAACACCAGAGAGGCTGAGGCAGAAAGATCGCAGCGACTTCAGAGCCACCTGGGGAACATATAATGAATTCCAAGCCAGCCTGGACTATAGTGTGAGACTCTATCTCAAAAATTAATTAATTTCAAAATGAGCAAGATGCATTAGCAAAATAATTAACAGTTAGCATCCCAGCATTAAGAGATTAAGTTAATTGTTCTGTGTCTTACTTTCAAGACATGCACCATAGTCTCTTTTAAAGTTGTTTATCTCTTTAAAACATACCAGGCTAGAAAAATGGCTCAGCAGTTAAGAGGTCCTGCAGCTGTTACAGAGGACCTGGGTTCGTTCTGTAACCCTGTAATCCAGATCCAGGGGATCCGATGCCCTCTTCTGGCCTCTGCAGGCACTGCACACACATAGTACATATGCATACATGCAGCAAAAACACTCATTCACATAAAATAAAAATAAATAAGTCTTTAAAAGCAATAACATCGCTTTGCCTCCTCCAGAGGAGCTGACAGATATTAAATGAGGATGCCTTTCTTAGGTTGGGCTGAATTTGTGGCTTCCCATCCCATAACGCTGAGCCTTCAGGAGGTCATTACTACAAAAGATTGGCTCCCAGTGAGCAGACAGGTGCAGAGAAAGAAGGGCCCTTGTAGCTAACACCCGAACAGTGGGAGAATGTGTCTTCTCCAAGTCAGGGCCTCCAAGAGCACTCCCTTTCTTTTTTTTTTTTTTTTTTTCATCTTTCTTTATTAAGAAATTTTCTACTCACTCCACATACTATCCACAGATACCCCCTCCTCCCTCCTCCCACCCCCCAGCCCTCTTTCCCAAGCTACCCC